TAAATCCCTAAGGATTCCTGGAAAAAAAAGACTGCTAGATCTAGGAGCGATTTTGAGATCATTTACCCTGTTTTCCTATCTGTGTATCTTCTGGCTATCAAGGCACAGCTGGTGCTAAGGAAAAAGAGCTCTTACAGCCATGATGAGAGGCAGGGTCCAGACTCAAACAGACTGAGGACTCCACAAATGATCTGTCAACTAAATCACTCAGACTTTTAGGTCAACTCTTTCAGGATCCCACAATGACAACCCTGGAGAATTAATTTTCAAGTTGCTCTTTGGAACAGATATTTATGTTACTGTTCTAAAGATGTGAAGTTGATCATCAGCTTAGTCATAATTCAGCATGGCAACTTAAGAGCTTTTTTAAAATTTTTTTTTTTTTTTATTTTCCAAGGTCTTACTTCTCAATGGCAAGGCCTTGGATTCTTTTTCGTCTCACCATCTTCTTGCTCCCAGGATAAGGACAACCAGAAGCTTGGTTTACACAGTCAAGAGTCTGCCTCGAGGGAACTGGAGAAAGCTCACTGTGAGCAGGGGGAAGGGTTGTGTTCTGTCTGCTCAAATGAGCACTTTCTTCACAGCTTCCTCACAGATGCTGTAAAACACCTGGACTGTGTGGGGTTGATTTATAATCCTTGATCCTACCCACAGCATTCACACGAGGGTTGAGTTTTCCCCCTATTTTCTTTTGTTCTTTCTGGAAACTGGTTGGACCTGAAAGACCTAAGAAGGTGCTACTTACTAGTTGATCCTTTCATTGTTTAGAAATATTGGACTCAGTCAACTCAATTCATCCAAATAATCAGGGGAAACACAAAGAATGCAAGTGTTGGTGAGAGTTTATGACATAGCTCCCCAACATAATTTAGGGGTGCTCATCACATTTTAGTCAAGGATCTAATGAGGAGGTACTACCCATGGATGGTCACCACAAAGGAATGCAATTGCATTGCCCCCTAGTGGCTGTAATGCATAAATGTTTGTAAAAAACCTAATTGTTGACACCCCTTTTATAAACATGCAGCGTTCCATTGGTAAAGTAGTGTCCTCTAGGATCTAAACAGGCTTCCCAGACACAGACAGTATCAAGACCAGCAAAACATAGTGCTTTTCTTCAAGAGGAAATTAAAGGAAACGATTCCTTCTAACCTCATCGTTTCAACTGATACATGCTTGAAACTCGTAAAAAATGATAAATGCATGCATTACCTATTGTATCTTGACTTAAAGCACAAACAATTCAAAAATATTTTGATGTGGGGCTAAGGGATTCTATCATGGTGTGTGTCTACTGATGGGAGTTTATATACTACCTTCAAATTAAGAGCATTTGGGGCTGGAAGGATGGCTCTGCAGTTATGAGTGCTTGCTGCTCTTCCAGAGGACCCAAATTTGGTTCCCAGTACCCACATCACACGGTGTACAACCACCTGTAACTCTAGTTTCAGGGAATCTGATGTCCTCTTCTGACTTCTATGGGTGCCGGCAGACAGGTGATATATATGCACATAGATACACACACATACATGTGCTTAAGTAAAAATAAAAATAATGAATCTCTAAAAAAAATTAAGAGCATTTAAGAAGCAATCTGAGAAACAACAACAATCTTGATTCCTTCAAGGCTACAACATATCTTCACTCTGTATTTGTTTGTTGTCTTGCCTAAAGTTAGCACCATGGGACCACAAAGATGGGACAGCAGAGACTGATTATCAAGGTTTTCTTAGGGAAGATAAAATATGACATGAAACTGTGAGAATTGGTAAGGTTTCTCTAGCTCTTTCTTCTCCAACGTGACTAGAGTGAAAATTTAAAATTAAAGGCAGAGAGATGCATGAAATAATATGGTATGTTTAGAAGATAATAAGGGTCTGTACTGCTGATTTTAGAAGACATAACAGAAGAATGGAGAAGGTTGTAATAGAGAGCTTGCCATTCTAATCAGGCAGCACTGTGAATGTGCATCTTTTCTTCATGTCTGTGCTGGATAGCTTTAGTGTCAATTTAACACACCTGGGTTAAGGGAGTCTCAATTGGGGAATTGCCTCTATTGGACTGGCCTGTGGCCATGTCTGAGGGGGCATCCTCTTGATGAGTGATATGGGAGGGCCCAGCCCACTGTGGGTGGTGCCACCCCTGGGCAGGTGGCCGTGTTTTGTATAAAAAAGAGGCTGAGCAGGGGCCAGGGAGGAAAGCCAGTAAGCAGCATTCCTCCATGGCCTGTGCTCCAGCTCCTGCCTCCAGGTTCCTGCCCTGAGTTCCTACCTTGGGCTCCCGGATGAACTGTGACCTGGGAGATGTAAGCTAAATAAACCCTTTCCTCCCCAAGTTGGTATTGGTCAGAGTATTTTGTCACAGCAATGAAGAAACAAACCAGAACAATGTCCATCTGAGTGTGTTAGCTGTGTGGTCTTTATTTAATTGTGGGGCATGATAAGTCATTGTCCTAAAAAGTGTCTGAAGACTGGTGGGGGGAGCAAGGGTGTGTGTGTGTGTGTTGTATTTCCAAGGAAATGTCTTTTTTTTTTTCTTTCATGTACATATCTGTGTGGTACACATGCTTATATGTATGCATGTGGGCATGTGTGTGTGGGCATGTGGATGCCTGAAGTTGATATTGGGAATCTTCCTCAGTTGCTCTTCTGCCTTATTCTTTGAAGCAGGGTCTCTCAGCCAAACCCAGAGCTCACCAATCCAACTAGTCTCGCCAGCCAGCTTGCTACAGGGCTGTGTACATTTGGAGGCTGGAATTACAGGTAGCCCACTGTACTCACTTGCCATTTACCTGGGTTCTGGGGTTCTGAACTCTGGTTCCTTTGTGCTTTAACTGCCGAGCCATCTCCCCACTTCCTAAGAAAATGTCTTAAAAGCTGGACTAGTTGGGTCTGGTGGCACAGGCCTGCAATCCTAGCTAGCTGGAAGGTTGAAGCAGGAGGATGGCCTGGGCTACAGAGACAGAAGAGCTGGGATAAATGAATACTTGGAGAAATAGGGAAAGCAAAAGAGCAAAACCCCCCAAAACCAGGGCAATGGCTGCTAGACCTTGAAGAGATTTATATTTAACCTGAGTTTTCAAGGGTAAAAGGAAGCTAGAAAGGGGTGGGAGTGGTCACCACTAACTGACATTTGAGGCTGCCTGAGCTGATGCCTCTGGCTGTGTGTCCTGTTCATTTCCTACCCTGATGTTCCTGAAGAACCTGGCCTGTCACTAAAGGTTCAGTACAGTTTACAGAGAAAAAACTAGGCATATTATACCAACAACAGACCCTGCCCTCCAAGGCTGCCCCAAGGAAAAAGTCTATACCCCAGGCAAAAGGAATGTTCTTCTGCCATTTCTTGGGTAGACTCCAGTACAAAGGTTTAAATTTTATATCGATGTAAAAAGAAGCAGGCTGGTGAGATGGCTTAGTGGGTAAACACGCTTGCTACAAAGCCTGACAACCTGAGTTCTATCCCTAGAACTCACATGGTGAAAAAAAAGAACCAACTACTACTACCATTAGTATTTTTTGAAACAGGGTCTCATGAAACTCAGGCATGTCTCAGAACCTCTATGCAGCCGAAGCTGGTCTCTAACTCCTGATGCTTCTGCCTACATCTCACAAGTGCTAGGATTGTGGGCTTATATCAGCTGACTTCCACATGTGTGCTGTGGTGAATGCATGCGCATGCATGCACACACGTGTGCACATACTTGCATGCACATACACAATTGCGAATAAGTTAATAAAAAAGCATGCTTATGAGTGTATTCACACATTACATAAAATAGAAACAATTAGGTCACTTATGGAAAT